CTTTAGCTCAGCACACGCAGCCCAAACAGCAGTGCACAACATTAATAACTATGATTGGGAATGTCGTGTATATAAAATTCTAATGAGAACATTATTATAATAAAACGTTGGGAATTCTTTGGGTTTAGTTGCCGTGTTTCAGCGCGTTGTTATGGGAAGAGCGCATCCACAACAGGATCACACATTCTGACTATAGCATGCAATAACTGCGTCATTTTGTACATATATAAGTTGTAATATTATGTTTATGTTGTATTAATATTAATCTCAGGATGCATTTCCTTGAGTTAAATAAGCTGCCAGCAAAACGCTTCAGTTTACCATGTTCATTCAGCTCTTCAGCTTCAGCACGCGCAGCTCAACGGCTGCTATTTAAAACAGTGGTATTAATTTGTTACTTTTTCAAAATCATTGATACATTATTAATAACAACAACCACTTGTATTGTTCTCTTATTATTTTCATCAACAATATGGTTTAGTAATTAAAATCATTTAATTATTGTCCGTGCAGAGGCTATTCCGTTTTATTGATCTATGGCGCATTCATTTTGATTCTTTACACGTGTAATGATGTCCAGTGACTTGTTTGCATTATTTCTGCATTATTTTATTTATTTGTAAGACTTTTTTATGACTAAATTTGGTAATGGGAGAGTAAAAATATTTTTTAAACGTACACCGTTCAAACTAGGCTGCTTATGTTGAAGTGTTTGGGATGTGGCTTTTAATGATGAGACCTTTTTTGTAATCAGGCTCTCAAAAAGTATATAACAATTTGGATATAGATTTATCGGCCAACATATCGGTTATCGGCTTTCAAAAATAAAGAATAATCGGTTATCGGTATCGGCCAAAATTTTCATATCGGTGCATCCCTACACAATATAGTAGAATACAGCATAATGGAATAGAGCAGAATAGTAAAAAAGAACATAAAAGAATAGAGTAGAATACAGCAGATTATAATACAGCACAATATAACAGAATAAAGCATAATGTAATAGAACACAATAGAATAGATCACAATGTAATACAATAGATCTGCATAGAACTGAATAGAGCACAATAGAACAGAATGAAGCACAAGAGAATAGAGCAGAATAGAACAGAATGAAGCACAAGAGAATAGAGCACAATAGAACAGAATGAAGCACAAGAGAATAGAGCAGAATAGAACAGAATGAAGCACAAGAGAATAGAGCACAATAGAACAGAATGAAGCACAAGAGAATAGAGCAGAATAGAATCAAGTAAAACAGAATATAAAAGAATAAAGCACAATATAACGGAATAGATCTGCACTGAATTGAATAGAGCAGAATAACAGATGAAATGGAGCACGATAGAATAGAAGAGAGCAGCACAGAATTAAATGGAGCACGATACAATAGAGTAGAACAGAACAGAATCAAATAGAATAGAATTCAGTGGTATTTCACCTTCTTGCCAGCATGTATGAGCGCCAGGGCGAGTTCAGTGGTGATGGTGCTCTTCCCCACTCCACCTTTACCAGACAGAACCAGAACCACGTGCTTCACCTGAGCCAGACTCCCTTTCTCTGAGAACATGACGTTTCTATTTAATTCACCCATTTATAGATATTGTGTTGTCTTTACTGTTTATTTAGACCCCTTACAAAAATACTGCAGTGGTACAGTGATGCTATAATGTAATATCACGGTACTTGGATATATACCATGATTACCATAATTGTGTACCAATGGAAATCCAAAGAATAGCATCATAAAAGATATCCAACAAAAACATTGTATTTCCAATCTAGGTGTCCAAAAACATGACATTATTTGGGTTCATATACAGCAGGGTTTCTGCAGACATTAACAAGTTAAATTTAAGACTTTTTAAGACCACCTTATATGAATGTTAAAGACCTAAACCTGTAATGCAAATACACATTTTATTACATTAATATATGTAATATGTAATGTGTATAAATTAAAAAGAAAACAAATTACAAAAATACTGCAGTGGTACAGTGATGCTATAATGTAATGTCACGGTACTTGGATATATACCATGATTACCATAATTGTGTACCAATGGAAATCCAAAGAATAGCATCATAAAAGATATCCAACAAAAACATTGTATTTCCAATCTAGGTGTCCAAAAACATGACATTATTTGGGTTCATATACAGCAGGGTTTCTGCAGACATTAACAAGTTAAATTTAAGACTTTTTAAGACCACCTTATATGAATGTTAAAGACCTAAACCTGTAATGCAAATACACATTTTATTACATTAATATATGTAATATGTAATGTGTATAAATTAAAAAGAAAACAAAATATAATTGCTGTAATAAATGGTATTTATAACTACGATATACAGCGAGCTTTTAATGTCAGCAGACAATATTAAATAAAATATAAAACATCCCCGCAAAATAACTGCATCACTGAGATTTTTGGTGGAGTAAACAATTTATTCTGAAGCAATATTTTCATCAGTGTTTTACATACTTAAATCTGCATATTTACCTTTACAAATGCCTATTTTTAACCTTTTTAGATCCATGTATCTCCTTTCATGTTAAATTATTACAATTTATCAATAAATTAAATATTCACGATAGGGCTGCTACCAGTCAGATTAAATCATTTACACTGCAAATAACAATAATTACAACTGCAATAAATAATGTCATGAGATTAATGTTTTAAATGCATTTCTGAGTATACAAATAAGACATGTTGAGGGGAAAAATGCATACTTTTCAACAAACTTCTCAACTGAACGACCAGTAAGTGACGGTAAGACACATGATGAGTGATTAAGATTCATTCAGCTGATTGAGAGTGTTATCATGCTGACATCTTAAGGACGTTCGTGGACCGCCGACTCCTAAAGTTTTTGATATTCTTCATATTCTGTGTGGTGGTCAGATAGAAACTAATCTTTTCCAATAAGTTTAAATAGATTTTTTACCTTTAATGGGCATTTTACCTTTATAAAGCCATTTTTCTATAAGTGTGCATTATCTTTCAAGTCAAATTCTTACATTTAATCAGTGAATTAGAATAATAAGACATTTGGGCTGTTAGCAAGCAAATGAAATCAGTATCAACAAAATTCATCTTTGCATTCCAGACATAAGCTGCGTCTGAAGTGGCATTTAGAAGTGTTTACACACTGCTTAATGCAGGACATGAATGCATTTAACCTGCAGTTACACATGCATAAATTATGTTTTGATATATTAAACATAAAACATTGAATACTGATATTTGAAATAATTTTTAAAAAATGAAAAGATACTATAAATGTGAAATTAAAAGCGCCAGTAGGTGGCAGCAAGTCACTGTTAATAAGTGAGTCATTGAGATTGAACCGAATCATTTAAACACTTGATTCATTCAGGAACCAAACACCGTCATGTTGCTCAGAGACGCAAAACAGCGCTGTGGCTTTGTCTGGAATGATTTTTGTTGGCGAAATGGTGTGACAATATGTTGTCTAAAACGTAAGTCTCTTAATAAAACGTCTAGTTTATTGAACTGTTGTAAAAAAATCAATATCACATTTGTATAAAAAAGGCACTCTTCCGTGTGAACTTGATTAACTAGATGAAGTGGTATAAATATGCGCATTTTCTGCCCCCAATGTCTTGTATTTGTGATCATTCTGAATGTATTTTAGACTGAATCATGCAGTGATCATGCACAGCGCATGCGCACTAGACTTCACGAACTGCGTGCGCTCTGTAGGTGTTTTGAATGTTTATTTTTTTTTGCGCCGTGAGAATAATATTTCAATAAAATTTAGCCTTATATTAAGAAAACGTTAGTTAAGACATTTTAAGGACCCGCGGACACCCTGTATACAAAACAGTTTTACCATGCTAACGTTACATGTCCAAACATGGTATTATCCTGTTACTGTTTATTATTTTTATTTCAAAATGCCTGTATTATTGCATTTATCTTTCGTTTATTCTGTCGCATTTTATGACAACGTAAATGATTCAGTTGTATTCGATAAACATCTGTTAATGAAAAAGTCTTGCTGATCGCACTCACCGCTGCTGTCCATGTTGGTTTATTTTACTTCCGCAAACGTCAAATGACGCTCTGCGTTTTTGATCCCGCCTTAGCGCAAGCTCGTCCAATCAGACGCAAGAGTGCGACGCATCTGCCGTTACTATTGGTCATTTAGCCGACTTAGTCACGCCCCTGTTATAATTCTTCAAAACTAGTATTTAAAGTTTCCAGTCGGGTTTGAAATATTCACACATAATTATTATTTGTTATTCATATTGTTTTATATTAATCGCTCCATATAATTATAGTTTCCTGATTAAATAATGCCAGGCACAGTTTGAGCATTAGTGAAGAATAATTTATTAGTTTATGTTTTACCACGTCGCTGATGCTTGCATGTTGGTCTGTAGGTCAGATAATTTATCGTTTAAGGTAAAGTTGACGGAAAGCCAGCGCGGACTGATCCTTAAAGCGGCCTTTAATGAGGATGATAGACAGACCGACCTGTTCCGTCTGCTAGGAGTCCTACTACGGCGAAGCCTTTACATAATGAATATTAACTACGTAACAAGACGTTTGCGCAGTCTGGCTATCCGATTGGCTGAAAATGAGACGAGGTAAGTAGGCGCTACTCAGCCAGCCAATGAAATTACAGCTCATGAATATTAATTAGGCGCGGTGACTAAACGCTCCAGGGCGTCGACCGCTTGACCTAATTAATATTCATGAGCTAGAACTTCTCCGTAGTATGACTGATGAGAGGCCG